TCCGTGGGTGCAGCGCCAGTTCGGCGGGGCGCGAGTGTTCGGGCGCGGTGTCCCCACCCGAGTCGCGGGTGTGCCCAGGTGCACCGCGCAGGGTCGTGAGGGGCTCAGCAGCGCCCTCCTTCCCTTCCCTGCCGAGAGCGCCGCGCCCACCTGCCCGGCATACCTGCCCTCCGGGGGAGTCCTCCCGGTGCAGCCGGGACTCTGGTGCATCACGCGGCGACGCGTACTTGTGGCTTGTCCGCCCCGGGGAGCGTGGTCTCCCGCCAGCGGACCGCGCCTCGTACCCATCCGGCATGCCGGGCGCTCGGCGTCTGTGCGCCTGAGCCGTGCAGGGCGGTGACCGCGCTGGGAGCGCCCGGTACTTCCACCCTCCTGGGTTTGCAGCCAGCCGCTTTGCTCCTCGCGCCGTCTTGCCAAGTTGCTTTTTTCTTAATGTTTTTGCCACAGGGCGTGTGTGCTTGCCAGAATCAGAGAGGAGAGAAATGACACGCAAGGGGGCGGCCACACCGCAGGCCGTTCTCTGGATTCGAGGCACACGCATAGGGTGCTCAGTTTTCAAGCTGCCAGGTCTGCGACCCAAACCACAGTCAGCCATTTGAGACTCCAGTGCCTTAACCACTATGCCACTTGCTTCATTTTTGTTTTTTTTAATGCTAGAGGGCTCCGGTGTGTTTGTGTCCGAGAGAGAGAGAAAGAGAGAGAGAGAGAGAGCCAGAGAAAGCAAGACGGGACCTAGTAACACCAAAACCCTTTTGCCTCCAGTTCTGCCTCCTATCAGGACCCAGGGTTCTCACTGTGTCTCAAGTAGGGACTGGGGGAAGGGGAGGCGGCCAGGACTAAGCCATGTGGGATCTGACTTTTCTGCACTTAACCATTGTGCTGGGGGTCAGCCCCATATTGCCATCTTTTCTTACTTTTTAATTATTTACTTCTATTTGCTATTATTATTTTTTAATTCGACCAGAGAAAGCAAGCTGCCAGGTCTGGGACTTGACCCATGGTTGGCCATATGGAAATCCAGTGCCTTTAACCACCACGCCACCTGCTGGCCCCCACATCACCATCTCGACGTCAACATTCCCCCTCTTTTTAGGCATTGGCCTTCCAGGCCACTCATCCTGGTCCGTTCTCCATCTCTTGGCTGTTGTATACTTCCATTCTCCAATTTCATCTTTTGGTTTTATTTCTTTTTAAAACATATTTCCATTTGTTCGTAATATTTTCTAATTTGACCAGAGAGAGAAAGGAGAAAGCAAGATGCCAGGTCCAGACCTTGAGCTGTGGTTGGCCATGTGGGAGCCC